AGCTTCCATCTTTGAATTAAGTCTTTCAACTTATATTTCTTTCTTTAAATGTTTCCAAAAATAATTCTGGGCTCTGGGCCTTGCCTGAAGGGACTGCAACTTCCATGATTCCCAAACAGGCCCACCTAAGTGGATTCCAACGTATGGCACCCCACTCAGGATTTCCTAGGTGTAAAGTATTTGGAAGCGGGTTTTGGAGTCCCTTAGTCCAGTGACATCCTGGGACCAACATTCAGCTGGGTGACGCCGTTGACCACATCTATTTATTTACGTATTCAAACTGGCTTCCAGTGGGAGGGAGTTCCACAGTCTAAAGGAGCAGCCACTGAGATGGTCTTCTGTTGTGTCCCCATCAGGTGCCCCTGTGAGGGTAGTGGGGCTGAAGCCCTCCCCTCTTAACACCCAAAGAGGCTCAGGAAACGAGATGTGTGGTCCTTGAGATAGCTTGGACCCAAGCTGTTTAGATACTCAGAGCCCCACATACATACATCTCAATTGACCCCTCTTGTGGAAGGTACAGTGGGAACTTGAACTCCGGACCCTGAACTTCACAGCCGAGTGTTCAGACCCTTTGGGGGCCATACCAGCTCAAGAGATTTTTCCAACCTGCCCCATTTCAACAGATATTCCCCATGGCATGGGGGCTAGAGATAAGTGACTGTTTCATCCGATGCAGGAAGGGGTGATACCTTCATGCGACCATTAAGAAAACAAATCCAAAAACAAACAGTGAGCTTTCGATATAAATCATCTTCCTCAGGCTGTGCACAAAGGTCTCATAGGTAGTTCCAAAACTTTTATGCTTATATTCAAGTCCCCAAATCCCAGAAGTTATTATCGAAAAGTCGATTTTTTTGTGTTTTATTTTCTTAATGGTCCTATAAAGGTATCACCTGTTCCTGCATTTGTATTGTTTTGAGGACTGTGCCACTGTTTCCTGATTTTTTCCCTTGTTTTATCTGAAGGTCTTCTCCAAAATGCCTTGTAAACATTGCCCTGTTGCAAAGTTCCCACAAAGCCACTTTCTTCCGAATTGTGGGTCTGCGTGCCAGGAGCTGGGGAAGTTTTTTTTAAAAAACAAAATGCAGAAGATGATCAGAGTTTCAGTGGGTTCCAAGCAGGTTCCTCAGGCCAGACTTGAGATCCTGAGAAGAATACAGTGGATGCAAATCAAATCAGCCGAGAATGCCACGACACAAAAGGAATCTACATTTAATTCCATCCTTAACTGAAGGCAGTGCTAAGTTTGCTTTTCAGCACCACGTCTTCACCTTCCTTTGGTAACGATGCTGGCAGTGCCACTGGGAGCGTGCAAAGTGCGGTGCCTTGCCTGAACTGCTGGGTCATCCCGAGCCAGCTTTGCAGCCACTTCAGAGATTTGCGGCCAGGCTGAGCGGGCACGGTTTCAAGAGGAGCCACGCTTCCCGGGTGTCAGGAAGGACCGTGCTCCACACCAGTTGATCCTGGGAAGGCATGCGGCCCTTCGTTTCCTGGGCTTTCCTGCCAACCTTCTCCCCCCGGGGAAAGCTGACACCCTGGCGGAGAGGGGGGGCCCTCTCGAATCCCTCCCCAGGGTGGTGGTGGTGGCGGCGGCGGTGGGCGCTGTTTACAAGCCAGGCCCCAGCCGGAGTGGCCCGCCTCTCCCTGCTGGCCAGCACCGCCTGCCTCTGGCACCACGTCACTGGCTTCATCGAGGGGGCTGCAGGCAGCTCCTGGTCTATTCTGGGTGGCCGGAGCATCATGAGAGAAAAATGAAACTCTGTCCCAGCTGTGTTCAGCCCCCCCCCCCC